TTTCCTTTGGCTCACACATATGCTGACTAGTTACACTTACTGCAAAGGCTATGTCAAGTCGTGTATGAGATAGGTAAATAAGTTTCCCTACAAGTCTTTGATATCTTTCTTTATCAACTAGTCTGTCTTTTTCCTTATCTTCTCTTTCTTCAACTTTCTTAGTCTATTCATCAGAATTTTCTTCCTTGGTGAACTTTGGCCTCTTCTTTAGAACAACAATGGGTGTTTCAACAGGTTTACACCCTAACATGCCTGTCTTTTTTAAGAGATCAAGTATGTATTTTTGCTAAGATACATGAATTCCCTTCTTTGATCTTGCAACTTCCATTTCCAAGAAGTATCTTAACTTTCCTAGGTCCTTGACCTTCAACTCTTGACTCAACGCATTCTTAATTTTTATGATTTCCTCATTGTGATCACCAGTAATAACTATATCATCAACATACACAATGAGAATACACCTCTTACCTCCTTCGAGTTTAATAAATATAGTGTGAACTGATAGTCCTTGTTTGTAGCCCTGAGACCTCAAGACTTGTGAGAATCTATCGAACCATGCTCTTGGTGACTGCTTTAATCCATACAGTGATTTCTTCAACTTGCACACTTGATCACCTTTGCCTTGATTAAAGCCAGGAGGTAGAGTCATATACACTTCCTCTTTCAAGTCTCCATTTAAGAAGGCATTTTTGATGTCTAATTGATGCAAAGGCCATTCAAGGTTTACTGTTATAGATAGTAACACTCTAATAGTGTTTAGCTTGGCCACTGGTGTAAAGGTTTCTTAGTAGTCAATGCCATATGTCTGTGTGAATCCCCTAGCTACCAATCGGGCCTTCAACTTTTCAAGGTTCCCATCGGCTTTGAATTTTGGGGTGACACCTACTTGCAACTTACAAGTTTCTTGTTCCTTGGTTTATTCACAATTTCCCAAGTCCCATTTTCCTCTAATGCTTTCATTTCTTCCAAGACAGCTTCTCTCCATCTTGGTGATTCCAAAGCCTCATGAATATTATATGGTATACTAACATCATCTAGATTTGCAATGAAACCTTGATACCTGGGAGATATAACTTTATAGGACGCATATTTTTGAATTGGATGCTGTTTACAAGATTGAGGTTTCTTTCTGAGGGCAATTGGCAAATTTAGATCATTATCCAATTCTTTTCTGGCATCATTATTGGCATTCACAGCCTTTATGATGTTCTCATTTCCTTCTACAAGATCTCTTATCGGTTTTGAATCAAGGATTGCCTCAGGTGTGAGAGGTTTATTACCTTGCTTCTTCTTCCGTTTATAGGTTATGATCTCTTTTTTTATGGTACTTGTGTCCTTGTTATCCTCTGTACCTGCATTTTCTTTTGCTTATAGAATAAAAGAGACAGATGGCTTAAAGGAGTTGAGATCCACAGATGAAATAGGGGAATACTTAAAGAATGACTGAAATTCATGCCAAGTCCCCCCTGAATTAAGGGAGGAGGATAAAAGGATTCGTGTTCAGAAAAAGTGACATCATGACTAACGAATAGACGCCAGGAAGAGGGATCAAAACATTTGTAGCCTTTTTGAGAAGAAGAATAACCAATAAATACGCACTTGATAGCCTTAGGTTCAAGCTTTGAAGTGGGGTTAAGATGTACAAAAGTTGAGCACCTAAATATTTTCAAGGGGAGATTAGTTTCAAGATGGTGAAGAGAATGTATTTCGCGTAGTCAATCAAGAGGTGTGATATAGGATAAGACTTTACTTGGCATTTAATTGATGAGGTAAGCAGCAGTAAGAATAGCATCGCCCCAAAAAAATTTTGGAATATGATTGGTAAACATAAGGGCACGGGCAACCTCCAATAGGTGTTTATTTTTGTGTTCGGCAATACCATTTTGTTGAGGGGTATTTGTACAAGAGGTTTTATGGACGATGCCCTTCGTTTTCAAAAATTCACTCATAGTTTTATTCAAGTATTCAGTACCATTATCAGTTTGGAGGATTTGAATGGAGGTATGAAATTGGTTAAGAATCATGGTGTAAAATTCTAAAAATATGGATGTGACATCAGATTTCTCTTTTATTAAGTAGACCCAGCACACATGAGTATGGTCATCTATGAAGGTAACAAACCATTTAGCTTGAGTCCGATTTGGGATACAGGAAGGACCCCACACATCACTATGAATGATAGAAAAAGGTTTAGACGGTTTGTATTCAGAGCGCGGAAGTGAAGAACGATGGTGTTTAGCCAATTCACAAGTATCACAATGAAAAGTAGAAATTTTATTGAATGAAAAATGAGGAAACAGACGACTTAAGTACTGGACATTGGGATGACCCATTCTTTTATGCCATAACAAAAGATCATTATTCTCAAAGGTGGACACAAGATTACACCGAATACGAGACCAGAGACTACTCACGGTTGATTCATTAAGGTAGTATAGCCCATCACACTCCTCAGCATTGCCAATCATCTTCCCCAATGTGAGATCCTGAAAGATACAATGAGTAGAGAAAAAATGAGCACTACAGTGAGCTTGTTTAGTCAACTTGCTTATGGATAACAAATTACAAGCTAAGTATGGAACATGAAGAACTGAATCCAGTTGTAAAAATTCAGAAATAGTAATGCTTCCCTTTCCAACAATGGAGGAAGATGTTTCGTTAGCAGTATCAATTTTCTCATGTCCACTACATGGAAAATATGATGTGAATAACGTGGAGTCTGCCGTCATGTGATCTGAGGCCCTAGAGTCAACAATCCACCGGGATTTATGGAAGGAGGTATTCAATGCAAAATGATTCTTACCTTGCTTAGCCACAGAAACAGTGTGGTTTTGAGATGATTGACCAGGTCGTTGTAGTGTATTTAACACCTCCAGGAGCTTAATTAACTGGTCTTTATCCATTTGAGGGATAATAGCAAATTTGTCTAGGGCATTTTTAGAAGTAGCTTGATATCCACGTGCCTTACCCTTGCATGGTTTCCAGTCAGCAGGCTTCCCATGAAGATCCTAAGACTTGTCCTTTGTGTGACCAATCTTTTTGCAATGATCACACGAGATTTTCCCTTTTGTCTCCTTCAACCCGTGATCAGAGCTCCTACTTATCAAGGTAGAAGGTTCAGAAGAAGAAGATACGAGAATAGGGTCAGTAAGCATCACCTTTCGATGAGAAGACTCCCTACGGATTTCTCTAAATGCATCTCATGCTGAGGGTAATGGCGAGTGAGCTAGGATTCTGCTTCAAACATCATCTAATGAGTGATAAAGACCAACCAAGAATTGAAACACCCACTCATCCTTAACTCATTTTTTGTACCTTGCTACATCACGAGCACAAGCCCATTCCTCTTCTGTGTTGAGGTCGATCTCCTGCCATATGGTAACGAGTTCTAACCAATATTCGGTCAAGTCACGTTCAGCTTGTCTAATCTGCCAGCTTCGAGTTTTTAGCTCATATGTTCGAGCACTGTCTTCACCATCCGAGTATGATTCTCGAACAGCTTCCCAAATGTCTCTCGCAGTAGGCAGAAACATGAAGGAGCGTCGAACCTGTGGAGTCATGGCTGTGACCAACCAAGCAACTAGCGAGTTCTCGGTCCCCCACTTTGACAGGACTGCTGCATTTGACTCGTCTGGTACCTTAGATGTACCGGTGATGAAGCCCAGTTTTCCCCGACCACCAATAGCAAGCCGTATAGCTTGAGCCCACTCACGGTAATTATGTCCGTTAAATTTATCGGACACTAGGAGAACAGAGGACCCTTCGATAGAACTCAACCCGAGGGGAGTTCCGCTATGGGTGTACGATGAGGAGTTCTCGGTGCTCGAGCCCATGGACAAAGGTCTCGAGTTGCTCGACTGTGACTCCTCTATTGGTCGTACGCTGTCGTCTGCGTTTTCTGGGTCATAACCGTCGATCAGCTGTAATATCATGTAGGTATATTGACCAGAATGAGATATATTCCACTGTGCAGATATATATATACACGATTACAAGACTGACTGTACAAGGAAATAATCAGAAAAAATCAAATCACTTATTTACCCTCATAATCTTGACTAACCATATCCCTATAAATCCGAGTCATATCCCTATTAATTAGAAAAGAATATTTCTTAATTAATTATATTTCACATCATTGAGTATTTCTTTATATTAGAAAGCAAATGGAGCTTAGAAACTTTTTTCCTTTTTCTTTTTGGCCAAGGAGCATTAAAACGACTTATGACCCAAGAGCAGTTGAATATTTCTTGTGAGAGGCGTTACCCTGTAACACTGCAGAGGTTTTGCTCTTGTGATTTTTCCTCATCTCTACTATTCGACTAGTCCTTAAATGTTCAACCATTGGTGTCAATTTACGTTGGCTTTCTCTTTTATTAACTCTATTCTGCAACATAAGTGTTCATCACCCACAATGCGAAACATTCTAAGTCCTGGATAGATCCCTAAGTCGCAAGCTTAATTTGTTACTATGTGAATATAGTAACAAGTGAAATTTCTTATGACAAATTGTCTAGTATTTTTTATTGCTAACTAATTTTAATTTGACTTGGATGAATTTATTTCTGTAAGAGTGAAAACTCTGCCAGTAAGAAAAAACTTCAAAAAACTTCGAGGGTATTAAATTTTTAATCACTTAACCCATTCACCATGGCAAGTTTGATTTATTCAATTTACAAGATCCCATTTGAATTCTATACTGTAATTTTTTTTTAACGAAAATGGCCTTATTAATTACCCCCGCCATATTAATTAATTACAAGATGGAAAGAGAGAATGGATTCAAGTAATACATTCAAGGGAATTTTCAGCAAAATAATGTAAATTGTTGACAACTTTATTACTTTTAACTAAAATAGCTAAATTTCTTAATCTTGAGCAGTTAAAAAGATCCTATAATTAGGAACAGAGAGAGTCTATCCAAACCAATTTAATATTTTCCCAAGAACTATTTGAGCAATGGGTAAGGCATCAAAACTTCAAAAGGAAACCAGCTAGTGTTCGGAAGCTAAATAAATCACAATATTTTCTTATTGATATTTTATACTATAACATATCAGTCTTTATTTTTGACCTGAATAACATATCCGTCTTAGCATCAACTGCCATCATATAAAATATAATTAGAAAAAAATAAGCTAGAAGGCAGAATAAAGCCTTGATTCAAGCGTGGTTAGAAAAAATGTTTGATTCCGTGTGTGTGTTAAGAACAGAGGTGTACTTGGCCGGCCGGCCACTAGTTTTATCTTCTCTGGTCCCTTGTATTAATCTCATCTCCAACAGATAGGACAGTCCATGGCACCTTACCAGATAACTTCCAGCTTTTGAACATTCATGTTGCCATCGGTTCATCAAGTTATCAATTCAATCCTCTTCTGTGGTTCATTTCTGACAAACCAAGATCGTTGTTCTAGTCTTTCCACACTTATCATGTTTCACAAATACAATCTGGCAGAGGATTTGCATAAAAGCTTTCCTCCAGCTTCGGAAATTCCCCAGGCTCTCTAGGATGTGGAGCCCCAATACGGTCTTCATGAAGCTTTTTCACCTTGGAGCTGAACTTCTTCCAAGAAATTTTCCCTTCATCAAGCTGATCAACAAGTTTAACCAAATTCATCCTGCAATAGCCACGCAGTAGTATGAGTTTCACACAGAACTGGATAGAATATCGCCAATCAGTTATGCTAAAAGTTATATAGGTAACAGAGTGACAATGCATTACTTGTCAGGATTGATGGTCTTCTTGAAGTTCTCAAAGCGCCTGTGACCTTGAACAGCCTTCGCCATATTTCCATCATAAGTATAAAGAAACACATCACTCTGAAGGGCAACAACATAATCTATGCCAGCCAACATGTTTTGGTGATTCTTGAAAGGTTCCAACTCCTGCTCAGTGGACAGAGAGGAATGGGAGAAAATGTTGGGGAACTCATCCTCAAGATATTTCATACTTCCACTTCCATACGCTTCTCCGGCCACAAGGTAAATCCTAGTGCTGGATGGGAAACCCAGTGCTTTAAGCAACAGGGAAGTTTCCCTTGGAGTCAACGGACATCCTCCAAGCAATCGCCTCTCGGTCCCATTAATCTCTTTCTCTTTCCAGTGACTGACTTCATATCGCATCTGCTTCAGTTCTTCATCTTCTTCTGCGGTCAAATTGTGACTGCAGCCTGTAAATGCAAGCATATCCTTCTCATACCTGAAACAGGAAAAAAGGTAACGTGATTCTCTAAATTCTCTGAAGGAACAAAAATATTGGTTTCATGAACCTACGTAATAATTGGAACTCTTATTCTGTCAATGACTTGTTTTAATATAACGTGATTTAAATCCAACCTATCAATTAGAACTATAAGTGGTTGGATATGCTGATAATTTGTGCATGCAGGGAATTAAAAGAGCGAGAATAATTTAGGGAGGCCCGAGATACAATCAACGTGTGACATGTACAGTCAAGGTAAACAAAAACAGAAATTCAAACTAAATTCTGAACACCACCCCCCCCAAAAAAAAAAAAAAAAAAAACTCATGCAAGAGCGAATAAACCAAATGCACTGAACTTGTTGTATATATTTACCGAAGAGAAAGGGTTGTACTGCTTGAGAAACAACCTGATAAGGTTCTGAGATAATGGGTAATCTGGGAAGATAGATATTATGAATAAATATTATTTTTAATTTATTTTAGATATTTTCTATTTAATAATATTGTTTAGATTTTATTTAGGTATTTAGTTATCTACATTTTATATAGATATTTAGATATTTATTTAGATATCTATATATTTATCTAGATATCTAGTTATTTAGATTTTATTCAGGTATCTAGTTCTTTAGATTTTATTTAGTATTTTATATAGAAATAGATTCTAGGAGATTTTATTCAGTTTTATCTAATTGTCTAGTTGCCTAGATTATATTCATTATTTTATATTGTTTTTAGCATTATAAATATATTTAGCAACGTAGAAATAGGCATATCGTAAATACAACAGAATTTTGGGACTATTGGCCTTTTGGAAATTCTCTTAAGTATGGCTATTGAAAGAAGTATAAAACGAGATTCTTGTTCTTTGATAGATTTATTCCGTCTATTTTCTTCTATCAGTTTTATGTTCTCTCATTAGTATTATAAAATTAAATTCTGATTGCATATGTTAATAGAGATTTATCTTCTTTATTTCTCTTTACTCATCTTGGATCCTATCACAAACTGTGTAGCACTTCGTTCCAAAGAATGGCAACAGAATTCCAGAAAAAACTGGATAATTCTCTCTTGCCTCTTATAGATTCAACTCAGAAAATGCAGTAAAAAGAAAATCAGGACATAAAATGCAAGAAAATTAGTACCCCAGCAAGAAAGGAGTCAGGAAATCTCAGGAACAACACTGGACCCAATCCATTCTCCACAACCCCCCCCCCCCAAAAAAAAAGAAGAACCTCTATATTATAAATTCACATTGATCTCAAACAGCAATTCAAAACCACAAAAGTGCCTCCATCCATATTACGGCAGGCCCTCACAATAGTGTTTTAATCAAAAAGTATAGAAATATTGATGGACAAAAAGACTTCCACGCACAGATGAATCATGGCTCCATTGACAAGCAAAAGGCAGGATTATGGCAGTTCAACGTCATTTAACTTTGTCAAAAGTAATTTATTATTCAAGTAGGTCAACAATTCAACTCCGCCTATGTTTATAGCCGGTCCCAAGCCCGGGTAAAGGAGGAGGGTTGTGTTAGGCCATCAACAGCCAATGTAAAAATTTGTTGAATCTATCATGAACATGGACAATAGACGTTATAATGTTAATGCTAGGTCGTTGCCCGTAAGTAACGCGCTGCATGGCTCGAGTACAGTGATAAGTGAGTTAGAGCCGCTGCATCGGCGCCCGGATGTAGTGTTAAATGAGCAAGGGCTACCGCGTCATTCTGGACGCACGCGGCTAAAGAAGTTAGTCCATAAGAGCAAAATTAGATTTGGTACTTGGAATGTTGGGACATTAAATTGTAAATCTGTAGAGGTTGTAGGGGTTATGATTCAAAGGAAAATCAATATCCTTTGCTTGCAAGAAACAAAATGGCGTGGAGAAGAAGCTAAGGATATTCAAGGTTTCAAACTTTGGTATACAGGAAAAGTAAGTGCACGCAATGGAGTAGGCATCATTATAGATAAGGAGTGGAAGAAGAACGTTGTAGAAGTTAGCAGAATTGGAGACAGAATTATTTCTTTAAAAATGATAATTGGACGTGAGACTGTTAATATTGTTAGCGCTTATGCGCCGCAAGTCGGGACAGAAGCCAGTCTTAAGGAATTATTTTGGGAGGATCTGGAGGGGTTGATTCGACACATACCACAGAGTGAAAAGATTTTTATTGGAGGAGACTTTAATGGGCATGTCGGGAGGGAAGCTGGTCAGTATGCGAGGGTGCATGGTGGTTTTGGTTTTGGAGAGCTAAACAATGAAGGGCAAACTCTTCTTGATTTCTCATTGGCGTATGATTTTAAGATTGCCAATACTTGTTTCAAGAAGAGAGATGAGCATCTCATCACCTACAAAAGTGGAGCCTCAAGGTCGCAGATTGATTTTCTTTTGGTTAGGAACACAGATAGAAAACTTTGTAAAAATTGTAAGGTGATCCCTGGAGATGCTGTAACGACACAACATAGGGTCCTAGTCCTTGATGTGTGTATTATGAGTAAAATCCAAAAACGTCGACAAGTAGTAACACCAAGGATTAGGTGGTGGCAATTAAAAGGTGAGAAGCAAGATATTTTCAAGCGAAATCTTTTGGATAAAGGAATTTGGGATTCTCAGGGAAGTGCTAACATCATATGGGAGGATATGGCTAAAAAGATACGGGAGGTTGCAAAAGTAGTTTTGGGAGAATCGAAAGGTCTTGGTCCGAGAGATAAGGAGTCTTGGTGGTGGAATAATAGTGTACAGGACAAAATCAAGTATAAGAAGAACTGTTTTAAAGCCATACATTTGTGTAACAATGAGGAAAATTGGGAGAGGTACCGTATGGCTAAGAAGGAAACTAAGAGAGCTGTGGGTGAAGCTCGTTCTAAAGCTTTTGAAGAATTTTATAAGAACCTTGAGACGAAGGAAGGAGAGCAAAATATTTATAAGATTGCCAAGAGTAGGGAAAGAAAATCAAGAGATCTAGAACAGGTAAGGTGTATTAAGGATGAAGAGGGAAGAATTTTAGTTACAGATGATGAAATTAAAAATAGATGGGAGACTTATTTTTCTAAACTTTTCAATGATGGAGAGGATTCATCTAGTAACTTGGAGGATTTAGTAATTGGTGAAGGAGAACAAAATTTGTCATTCTATCGAAACATACGTGATAAGGAGGTAAAGGAAGCTCTTAAGAAAATGGCAAATGGTAGAGCTAACGGACCTGATTGTATATCTATCGAAGCGTGGAAATGTTTAGGTGAAGAAGGGGTGAGATGGTTAACTAAGTTATTTAATGTGATTTTACGGTCCAAGAAAATGCCTGATGAGTGGAGGAGAAGTACATTAATTCCTATTTATAAAAATAAAGGAGATATTCAGAATTGTACTAACTATAGAGGGATTAAACTCATGAGCCACACAATGAAATTGTGGGAGAAAGTAATTGAGCATAGGTTGAGATTGGAGACAAGTATTTCTGAGAATCAATTTGGTTTTATGCCAGGTAGATCAACTACAGAGGCGATTTATCTACTAAGGGGATTAATGGAAAAGTATCGTTGTAAAGATAAAGATCTACACATGGTTTTTATTGATTTGGAAAAAGCTTATGACCGTATACCAAGAGAAGTGCTTTGGAAAGCGTTGGAAAAAAAGGGAGTACGGATTGCTTATATTAAAGCCATACAAGATATGTATGAGGGGGTAAAAACTAGTATAAGAACGCCTAGTGGTCAAACAAAGGATTTTCCTATAAAGATTGGGCTACATCAGGGATCATCTCTGAGTCCTTATTTGTTCAACTTGATTTTAAATGTTTTGACGGAACATATTCAAGAGGAAATCCCGAAATGTATGCTCTTCGCGGATGATATAGTTCTTATAGCAGAGACAAGAGAAGAGGTTAATTGCAAACTTGAGTTATGGAGGAGGACATTGGAGTCGAAAGGTTTTCGTCTGAGTAGAAGTAAGACGGAATATTTATATTGTAAATTTGATAAAGGACTATTCGAAAATAATTTGGAAGTAAAATTGGGAGATCAAATTATACCTCAAGTGGAAAAGTTTAGATATTTGGGAGCCATTATCCAAAATGATGGCGAAATCAGTGGAGATATTTCACATAGAATTCAAGCTGGGTGGTTTAATTGGAGAAAAGCTAAAGGAGTTATTTGTGACCGTAAGGTGCCTAATAAACTTAAAGGAAAGTTTTATCGTACTGCTATCAGACCGGCAATGTTATATAGTAGTGAATGCTGGGCTCTAACGGGACAGCAAGAGCATAAAGTTGGAGTAGCAGAGATGAGAATGTTACGATGGATGTGCGGACATACACGTAAAGATAAAATTCGAAATGAGCACATACGTGAAAAAGTGAGGGTGGCACCTATTGAGGAAAAAATGGTAGAAAATCGGTTGAGATGGTTTGGGCATGTACAAAGAAGACCAAGGGAGGCACCAGTGAGAAGAGTGGAACATATAACTTTGAGTCCGATTAAGAGAGGTAGAGGAAGGCCTAAGAGAACACTCTTGGAAGTTGTTGAACGTGATCTCTTAATTAATAATATTTCTAAAAGCTTAATAAATGATAGAGCACAATGGCGTCTTGCAATCCATGTAGCCGACCCCACCTAGTGGGATAAAGGCTTGTTGTTGTTGTTGTTGTTGTAGGTCAACAATTCAAGCCACGAGCATGGAAGATCACCACTCCATATGATCAGAATTTAGAAGCCACATCTAGCTTTCTCGAGAATTAAATAATTTCCACTCAATATATATATATATATATTTTTTATCAGGACAAGAATGCTTGAGGGTTGCAGCCTTAAAATTTGCAGGTTACAAAAAAATTTAAAAAAAATAAACAGGGAGATAAAATTTATTTCAATGATGGAGAGATAAAATTCATCTTATTGTGAATCACATAAATACAAGCGAAACATCACTATCCGTGAAATGATTCTTGCAGCTTTAAGAGCCCCTGTTGTGAAGTTGTAATTATGAAATGAATATCCATTTTCACTCAAAAAAAGATTACTGCAGATGCAGGTGTTTGTAAGAATGTATGGCGAAACACAATTCCCAGGATACAGGTGCACTCAGGCTCATCCACATGCATGGAAATTGCAAAAGAAAAATAAAGGAAAGCTAAGGGAGGAAATTATTTGATTCTCTACTTGCCTCAAATGAAGTGCAAGATAACGATTGCCATCCTGCCGCATTCTAGATATCACCATGTTGCCATGTTCTTCAATTGGTGCTGAATATTTCAATGCTCTGTAATTGGCTCGGCATCTCAATTTCTGTATGGACTTTGAAATACCATTGTTAGCAAGCCTGGAATCAGTATGAGTAAAATAGACCACTTTGTGCTGCTTTAGGAGGGGAAGAACTTCACTTCTGTAATACGGTACCTGTGGAAAAGGGAAGCAATAATAATAAATTTTAATCAGTATGACATTGAGTACATCAAAATAAATAGATGACACATATAGCTCTATCATATTAAGATCTCCTTTTTCTACAAACTTATGATGGTTACTTGACCAGACTGTTACCTCAACATTAAGGTAATAGATCAAAGTAATCAAACGTATGTTGCAGGACTTGAAAAAAAAGAAGAAGCAACTGGAGATGGACAATTTATCTTGACCTTAGACCAAGATATTGGAGTTTTTACGAAAGGCTCAATTCCCGCATAGTCTGCTGGTAATGTCTCAACTATGTGAATATCATCCTTCAGCATCTCAATAAAATATCTCCAGTCAAACAAATCCTTGAAGCCACTGCAAATAAATTGAAACAAAGTAGCTCAGAGATCACTAAAAGACATGTTGAGCATATTAGTAGCTGCGGCATTTTGCAAGATGATTATCAATCTAGAAATTCGTCATTTGGTATCAGCAACAACATGAATATGATCAAAGAAAGAAAAGAAATAGATTGCAGATGGAGAGATTGGAAAAACTGCATAATTGAAGATCTCATGCAAACATGCCATCTTTCCATTACGAGTAAAGCAGTGAAAATTGTCCAATGGAATATGCCAATAGTCAGATTACAACTGATGATATGCTTAAAAAGGGGCAGCATAAGCTGTCACAAGGCAAAGCTGTTATCCCTAAATTTCTTGCAACAATTGAATGATCTCTTGTTCTGTGAAATGTGAATGCCTTGATTTGGAGAAGTAGTCTAACATTCATAATTTCCAATCAATTCAGATAGGTGGTTTGAGTCCATTTAGATCTGAATAAAGTAGCTTGCAAGAAACAAGGGTATTATGCATAAGCAATTTACCCTTATTTTCTATTGCTGAGTGGGTGGAACTAAACCAACCTTTCATCAGCCCAGTAGGAGGTATGATCAAGGGAAGGAAGGACTAGTGTTGCCTTCAAAATCTTAGCTACAGCAACCATATCACATATCTACATTCCAGAAGTTATGAGGCATTAATTATACTTGCTTAATAATTTTCTGTGATAAACCATAAGGAATCAAGTAAGCCTTACCCCAAACCTCATCTGATTCAGGCCACCATTGGCATTTATAAGAATGTAACCATTTGTCTTCGCATCTAGCTCTGTTAAAAGAAGTAGCAAGTCAGAGAGGAGAAAACTAAATATACAGCATAACACATTGAGTAGGTAGGTACAAGAAGTATACATGACAATAAACGTTCATACTTTTATGGTTTCTTGGTAGATCAATGCATTGAGTGTAATTCTCATAGTTGTGTATGGACCAGATGCCTGCTTCCTGAATAAAAAGCAAAATTTTGATGCATACAAAAGCAAATAAATCGTTCGGCAGACCCGCAAAAGAAATTTCTTTTCATTCACTTAACTTGTTTTATCTCAGAAGGGAAAACCTAAGTGAATATTAGTAATACACCTGGCAACTTGAGATATTGAAATTAGAGTAAGACTTACTTCAGCGATGGCAGACTGGCTGCCAGTTACTCCTGACTTTAACATCTTTAGGGTTCGTTCAACATCATTTCCTTCCTCCCTATATCCATGATCATGGGTCCTTTGTTGCATCAGATTTAGATTAGTCATGGAATCAGATAGATCCTGATAAAAGGCAGAAATAACTTGCAAATTCAGTAAGGTAAATGAATAAAAAATGCAAACAACTGTCTCCTCTTCAAATCAAAAGGCGACACAAACTGACATGAAATATAATCATAAATCAAGCCATGACCTATATCTACTTCTCAATCTACTCCATCACCTAAGAAATATTGAGATGTTTTACAACTTTAGTGCAATGTATCTATCACCAGTAAAAAGCACTAGATCAAAGTAAAAAGAAGTAAAAATCTCGATCATATTTCATAAGTTCTCCAATACGAGGCTCATTTCAAGGCATGTTTTACTCAAAACCACAAAATTACAAGTACCACAATAATAGTTTTCCATTTCTATAACAAAATATTACCATGATCATTCCCAGCAAAAATGAATTAGTTCATGATTTTGCAACATGCGTTCGCGGTTTTCCACCTGTTAATTGACTGACAACATGCATAGCAACAGTCCAAGATATCGTAACAGACAACAAATCGTCCCAACCTTCCCCCCAAAAAAAAAAAAACAGAGAGAAACGAGGAGCAGAGAGAAAGCAGGACCACCACCAACAACAAAAAATGAAGAACCGAATTTGGATATCTAGATCAGAAGAAACCAAATGAAACATATAAAATTCATCCGCCATTGAAATATTCTAAGCATATGTTCGGTAAGCCTAAGCAACTAATGTTCAAAGCTGTGATTAAAAAATCCGTCAAGCCCAGCGCCGCCTCCTAGAATTAGAACTTTTGCCTTTGTCTTTTCAGAAAACGTCATCAAGCATCACATTCAGAAAGGATAAGACTTCCCACAGTTTTCAGAACAGTTGAATTAGAATAATTTCCGCTGGCGTTAAGCAGTACAATTAACCGAAGCAGCAGAGCAAGCGAGTATCACTGATGACAGATGTATACTCGAGGAAAACAGAAGCTGACGCGAGTTTTATGCTAACCTGACTCGACTCAGCTCTTTCTATGGCAGATCCGAGCCACCCAGTAGCGCATATCTTCAGAACACCCAGAAACAAGCACACCCCACAGAACACAATAAACATCCAGTGCCCAAGCTTTTTCTTCTCCCTCAAGCCCAAATCTACGACCAAGGATTCAATCGGTTTATTCAGAAAGCTCTTCACGGCTCTACCTTGGATCCTCTGTGTCACATGATAGGCGTGTTTTCTTTCCAAAACAGGCTCCAAAACTTCAGCTGCGATAAGGCTTGATCCAATCTCCGATCTGGGCGAATTCGTTTGCAGCTCAATCTCACAGTGGGGACCGAGACTCGTGCTAGCGTTATTGGCGATGGAGCTTCGAGAGTTGCCATTGTTGTTGTTGTTGCTGCGCTTGAATGAGTGAGCTCGACGAGTCATTGAGCCAGAGAAGCGTGGGCTATTGACTCGCTGAGAGTGAGAGACGCCATCGCTGGTGTTGAGATGGTGATCGTGACCCATGTCCTTCGTTGGAGTTGTGTATATGTGTGAGTTTATTGCAAGTGATTGGATTCAGAAGAGATCGCCATTAAAGCAGGAAAGCTTGTATCCCATTATCTCTCTCCCCCTTCCTCCTTTGCGCGTCTGAAAGGAAATACGAGAGATATGCAATGCGTCGTAATCTATTATGTTTACAGTTTTCTTTTCCTCTTCTTCCTTTTGTTGTTGTTGTTGTTGTTGAATTGCTTACAGTTTTCTCACCCCGAGAAAATAAAAACAAACAAAAAATTGTCCAACCAGATTTATTTCTATTTTAATTTTTATTGTTAAATTTTATTTATAAATCAATTTCAATATATTTTAATAGAATTAAAGAAAATTTGAAAATTTATTACATTTTTTTAAAATTTTAATAATTTATAAAATTTTATCTTTATTAAATATACATATTTTAATAATTTAATTTTTTTACCAACATTTAACAGAGAATAAAATTGTATAATATGACTTATAAATAAGATTTAAAAAAATCTTCTCCCTATATAAATAACACAAGAGGAGTAACATCCGGGTTCACAAACATAATGATAATAATTTACAATTTTTCAGAAATTAGTTTTATATTTAGACTACATAGAGAAATAAAAAAAAATTTACACCTAGCTTAATAAATAATTAGAATTGAAAGAAGTGAAAAAAATTACACATAACGTTAAATTGAGATAGATAATGCAACTCTTTGTAAATCATGTCCTTACAAATGATCTAAGTTCAAGTGTCAGTTGCGAAGAGAAAATTTTTTCTAGCATAAATTATCTCTGAGCATTATTGTAAATGTTTTTTTTTTATGTGGTTAAGCCTGCTTAATCCAATCCAAAGCATCAAAGCTTTTTATAAGAAAAAATAAATAAATAGGTGTATACTTTTTAATGAATATAAAATAAGTGAATAATGATTTAGAAACAATTAAACGATTTATAAACTTATTTGGATATATTTTATTAGAAAAAATATATTTCTATTATACGTTGATTAAAGACCATATCTTAATAACAAAAATATATAAAAAAAATTCAATTAACGTATATGATAATTTAGATATACACAAAATTATTTTCCCAAATTTTTATGAACGCAAATTGCTTGCTGGCTTTTCATGTTATTGCATAAGAGGTATGATGCCAGTCAACTTTGAGCTAGATGTCACGATGCCAATTGGGAACACGGTTTGTGAATTGTGAAATAATAATATAATATAATAATAATTAGCTGAAGCCAATAATTTAAGACCATTAATCACATGTGGAGACTTATCATTGCAAAGTGTATTTGACTGAGTGAAAGGATGGCCACCTTTTCCCCCTCTGGAAGAAACCGTTTTCCTCGCCCCTTTCTGAGCCAAGTCTTGTTTCGGCTGTGTGTGGGATTTTGGACCAACCGTGCCGTTGTTAATGTGTGTGTGTTCATTAATAATGTAAAATTCGCTGATGAACAACGGAAAGATGAAGCTCTGGGAATGGGATTTGTCATCAAGATGGCGTCATCTTCATTAGCCAAACATAGGCATTTTGCTATTGGAGTTATTCATAATCCTTGTTTTGTTCCATCCCATTATTACACCTAGATCCTAGAACAGCTCTATTTTATAACTTAAAAAATTTGTTTTAACTAAAGTTTTTTCTAATAAATTTGTTTTAACTAAAGTTTTTTCTAATATTTATATGTACTTCCTTTGTTTTTGTACATGAAGTATTTTAAACTGACTCTCACGTATTAATAAATAATATAAGATTATCATTTAGTTAAAAATACATAAAGGGCCAGTTTATTTTAATTTATTTCATGAAAAAACACTTATTTTTGGGGAAAAAATTATTTTGTGAATTTTTATAATATTCTTTTTAAAATTTTAATGATAATTAGAATCCAAAAAAAGTAAATTTTTAATTATTTTAATTAGCTATTTTGAATAACTTCTAAAAATAATTTAATGCAATAAATGAAAGAAAATATTTTAAAAAAGCGAGATGTATAAAGATATCATAAAATTTTAAAATAATATAATAATAAATTATTTTTATATAAAAAATTAAGAAAAATATCATTAAACTTAAAAATAACTAACTAATAATCACTTTTTTTATTATTGTATCCAACATAAAATAATTTTTGTTTTTTAAAATCTCTATAAAATAAATCTCTTTTTATAAAATCTCTAAATTATCTAAAAATTACTTATTTTTTAATCTTAAATAAATGGGCCTGAAATCACAATGATTGTCCATTTTAGCCCCTAACAATGTCAGAATTAATATTATGGTGATGATAGGTAAGGTATACAATTGATGGCCCGTTTTAGCTTCTGTCATGAAAAAAAAATCATTCATTTTTTAGAAAAATCTATTTTTTAGTTTTTATTATGCTTATTTAAACTTTTAAAAATAATCAAGATCTTAAAAAAATATTTTCTTCTAAAAATAATCTAATGAGATAGATGAAAGATAGTGTTTTAAAGAGGCAAAAAACACACAAAGATATCATAAAATTTTAAAATAATATAATAATAAATAATTTTTATAAAACAAAAATCAAGGAAGATGTCACAAAATTTAAAGAAAATTAACTAATAATCACTTTTTTATTAATGTAACTAAACATAAAATAATGTTCGCTTTTCATAAAATTTCTACAAAATAAATATTTTTTTAATTTATAAATTACATGAAAATCACTTATTTCTTAATCTTAAACAAATAGGCTGATGTAAAATAAGAAGGGAAGGGGGAACAAAGGGAAAAAAAGGAGGAGGGAAGGAGAAAGAAGGAGGGAAGGCCGAAAATCTAAAAATTTTTATTCAATAATACTCAAAAATTGCATACAAACGAAAAACCTAGCTTTATTTTTAGAGCATTAAAAATAATAAAATAATAATAGTAATTTAAATTTAAATCCAAAATCCTAAATCTAATTCTAATCTTTAAAATACTAATATTTAAGATAACAATAAAATAAATAACAAATCATGATTTTGATGGATAGAATTTTTATTCAAATATCCCTAATGGATAATCCTAATATCTTAAATAAATTATAATTATCTTAACTAACCATTATCCCATATTCCATCATTTTTCTCTCGTTTGAAGAACTCGTCTCCTAACAAGTTAAAACTGATGCACAAATTAATCGAGGAGGCATGGGTGGGATAAAATTTCATCCACCTTTCCAACAAGTGAGGTTGCGACGAACTGCATCTTGTGAAGGACAACATGGATTATTTGGAATCTCTCCTTTCTAGTAGACAAGATATTGTTGAAGGTTCCCATTAAGTGACACATTCTTAACAGGTGTAGTTTATAAATGAGGTGAATTTGTTATAAGGCCAGGTTGGTTCTAACTAATCACAACTTGAGAAGGTGCCACTTATACAGGAAGTAGAGGAGCTTTTATTAGAGTTTTTAATGGAACCTATAGCGGTAAAGATGCTAGAATGGATATACCACTCTTATGATTAGTCTTCGCAAAGGTTACTATAGACTCATCTGAATTTAAGGTAGGAATTTTAACCTCTTCTTATCTAATTGTGTGTTTCTGCTGATTTAGCGACTCCAAAATTTTTTAAAAACTTTTTTTATTTTTTCAGATAAATGTACACCTTCTTAAATTTGATATCTCAATTCAGCATTAGATTCAGCATTGTGGTGTTTGACTTCATATGTTCGCCTTTCAAATTTAGCATCAAAACTTTCATCCTCAACAATTTGTCATGCATATTCAACCCTACGACATGCTTCATAATTACACTATTAGTCATATGCATATCAATATTGTCATCGTTTTTCAATTTGTTTCCTCTAGTAGCCTTCGCTATCATTCATGGTAATATCAATATGCGATATAAAATCATAAATATATTGATTAAAAATACCTTTCAAATATTTTATATGATGATATGTGGCTTTAGAGAAAATCTAGGTTATTTTATGGATCTCAACTAGATAGGGAAGGGAGGTGAAACTAGACTCTGATACTAAACTGATGTAAAACAAGAAAGGGAGAGGAGAACAGAGAGAAAAGAAGGAGGAGGGAAGGAGAAAGAAGGAGGGAAGGCCGAAACTCTTAAAATTCTTATTTAATAATACTCAAAAATTGCATACAAATGAAAAACCTAACTCTATTTATAGAGCTTCTAAAATAATAATAATTTAAATTTAAATCCCAAATCCCAAATCGCATATCTAAATCTAATCTTAAAAATACTAATATCTAATATAACAATAAATAAATAATAAATCTTGATTCTAATGAATAAAATTCTTATTCAAATATTCTTAATAAATAATCTTAATATCTTAAATAAATTATAATTATCTTAATTAATCATTAACTCATATCCGATCATAGGCCAATATCTCTTTCATTTTTTAAGAAATGACAAAGTTGTCTAATTACTCAAAAATGCTATGGCATCCATTATATTTAGAAATAAAACAAAATTATATAAAAAATCTTATATATAAAAATGAAGGGAGTATATATATATTGTTAAGTGACCATCATGCATTAGTTTTAAGGGAAAGGATTATAATAACATTAGATGATACTATCATGTTACCTAAACCGGTTATAACTAACATTTGTCTGAATAAATGATGAAAGAGTAAATTGGCTCATGAATTGTAAATCCAAGAGCATCTTGAATCCTAAATATACTTATCATGTAATATTTTTTTACAATTTTTAAAAACGGTATAAGTTGCATTTGTCATTAATAAAAGTTAATTTTAACTTTTATTGATTAGAAATCATCAATGACCTTCAAAATTACAAAGAATGACCAATTAAATTTTCTTGGTCCTGTAATTTTTTTTGTTATTTTCTATAATTTTTGAGGTATTTTCTTGATATTTTCTGACCAATTAATTATCAAAATTATTTTTCATTGGGGAGCAGATTGCATCATTTTTAAAAATTAAAAAAATATTACATAATTAATACATTTAAGATTTCAAACCATTTTTAGACCTATAATTTAAAATATAATTTGTTCTTTTACCATCGAATAAATACATGCCGCTTTTTCATAGCAACAACGATGACCATGTATAAGTATAATTGTTTGCCGATAGAGCTACAGAGAAAAGAAAATATTATAGTCATTTAGACACAAAATTTTATATTCA